GGAGCAACAACGTCAGGCTGGAGACTAAGGTGCACCAGATCCAGGCTATAGTCTTCTCAGTTACGTGCTATGCATCGGAGAGTTGGACAATGAGTAGGGATGATAGGAAGAGAATTGATGCCTTTGATCTGTGGTGCTGGAGAAGAGTGTTGAATATACCACGGACTGCTAGGAGAACAAACAGGTTTGTCTCGGAGAGGGTGAAGCCAGAATGCTCCTTGGAGTCAAGGATTCTGAAGCTTCGTCTGACATACTTTGGGCATGTTGCAAGAAAGGACTGGTCCTTGGAGAGGGACATCATGTTTGGGAAAGTGGAGGGACGGCGCAGGAGAGGAAGACCCTCGATGAGATGGATCGAGTCTGTGAGTGGAGTGGTGGGAATGAGTGTGTTTGAGACGGAGAGGTTGGCACAGAATAGAGCAGCTTTTAGAGCTCTTGTACATAGGGTCACTATGAGTCACAAGCAACTCGATGGCACATAACAACAACAACAACATACGTGGAACAGATCATTCGGGAGACTGGACTTTATGAGGAGGAATGTGGCATCAACATTGGAGGAAGACTCATCCACAATCTACATTATGCAGATGACATAACCAGGCTTGCCAAAACAGAAGACCTGAAGCATCTGCTGCAGAAAGTCAAGGAAAAAGCCTTCAATACAGATTGGAGCTCAACATTGATTCTCACTACTGAGCCAATTGGTTGCACCACAATGAAGAGAGAAGAGATCAAGATTGTTAATAATTTTTGTTTATTCAATTCCACAATCAATACTCTTAGCACCAGCAGTTAGGAAATCAAAAGACAGATCACATTAGGAAAATCTGCTGTCAGGGACCTCTCCAGAGTACTGAAGAGCAAAGATGTCAGTCTAGAGATTAAGGTGCGCCTGATCCAGGCCATGGTCTTTGCAATTACTTGTTATGCACCTGAAACTAAGAATGACAGAAGAAGGATCTATGCCTTTGAGTTGTTGTACCAGAGAAGACTATTGAACACTTCATAGACTGCCAAGAGAACAAACAGGTCCTGGAGAGAGTGAAGCCAATTTGCTCTTTGGAGGCAAAGAATTTGAAGCTCCATCTCTCATATTTTGGGTATGTTGACTTGGAGAGACATGTCCTTGGAAAAGGACATCATGCTTGGAGTATTGGAAGGAAAGTGAAGGGATGGAAGACCCTTGATGAGATGGATTGATACAGTGACCGGGGCAATGAGGTGTTAGAGATGTGTCAGAGATTGGCTCAGGATAGGGCAGGGTTCAGAGCTATTTTGTATAGGTTGCTATGAGTTGCAGATGACTCAACAGCACATAACAAAAACAATGAGTTTGGCTTGACAAGATAACTCCTTACCACTAGGCCACCAGAGATCCATCCATGTTGAGGTAGAGATTGTATAATTTTGTCTCCTGAGTAGGGCATTTACTTTGAAGCACACAAATAGGCAAACATCCCACTTCTACTTTATCAGCTTTTTCTACTTAGTGTCTTGGATCCTATTTACTCATTTATAAATGAGGCCAAATCATCCCAACCGCAGAGTTCTTATGAAGATTATATGAAATCATATATGTAAAAGGCCTAGGTTCACAGAAGATTTGCCACCCACTTCACTCTCGTGCCTCTGAACTAAAAATCCGTTTAAATGTTGTTAGACGTTGTCAAGTTGAGTTTGGCCTATGAACAGCAGATCGATCTTAACCTTGTCCTCTCCTGTGCCATCCTTATAATTTCCAACACATTTTAGCCCATTACTGCCTATAATATGGATAGATGGGGACTGAAATGGGAAGAATGAATAACCTTATTCAGAGTCTCAGTCAGAACTTGCAAATGGAAACCAAAGCCATTGTTTCTCTGGCACAAAAGTTGAGCATGTGTATGGTGAGACTCCTGACAGAAAAAAACAAGTTTTATGCCTACTTTAGTGCTCATAATGTCCACAGTTAATAATTCCTAGTTGTTGAAGTATTGTAGATTCTTATTAAAATGCTCAGATAGACAACATACATATTAAACTTCTGGCCTGATTAGCTTTCTCTTCCCTCTTTCCACAACAAAGATTCACGTCCCTATGGTTTGAGTTCAGAAATTAATCTGGGAATCCACCCTCCCACCCAGCCTGTTAAAATCCTCCTCAGTATTGAAGCCTATCTTGACCACTGCCTCTTCAGAAGCCTACTATGATAGCACAACTAGATCCTGTATTCCCTCATCCGTGCCACTCTCCTCAGGACCCCTAGATGTCAAGGGCAGAGTCGATGTAGGTCTGCAGCTTTGAATTCTAGTGCTCTACAATCTTAGGCAAATAACTGCCTTGACCATGTAGAGTCTCAATTTTTGTGCCTTAAAAAAATTGTTAGGTGCCATCAAGTCAACTCATTGTGACACTGTAAGCACTGTGGCAATTGGACAATTAAAACAGACTTTCAAGGGGGGGAAAAAGAGGAATAAACTGGGGGGGAGGGTAGAGAGAATAGTGTAACAATGAATGAATGGAAACCCAAAATCTCTGTAAATGTTCATGAAAATTAATAAAGTTTAATAAAAAAAAGAAGAAAGGAAAAAAAACCCCAAAAACAACAGATCTGAACCTTGCCCTATCCTACTTCGTCCTCATGGTCTCTGACATGTTCAAGCCCATTGCTGTAGTCACTTTGTCAACCCATCTCCTTAAGGATCTTCCTTTCTTTCACTGACCCTCTATCTTTCCCAGTATGATATCTTTTTCCAAAGACAGGCTTATCTAACAACAAGCCTAAAATATGTGTGAGGAAGTTTTACCATCCTTGCCATTAAAGGAGCATTTTAGCTGTACTTGCTTCAAGACAGATTTGTTTGTCTTTTTGGTAGTTCATGGTATAGTCAATCTCTTAATCAATATCATAGTTCAAAGACATTAACTATTCTGCAATCTTTATTCATTGTCCACATTTCAGTTGTATACAAAGTAATTGAAAATACCATAATTTGGATCTTGTACTCTTTTATTTAAGTTTACATTCTTGCTTTTTTAGCACTTTATAGGGGTCCTTGAAAATTTTCCCTAATTCAGCACATCTTTTAATTTCTTGACTACTGCTACAATGGGGGTTGATTGTGGATCTAAATAAGTCTTTAACAACTTCAATCTTTTCTCTATCCATTATAATCTTGCTTGATACTGATCCAGTGATGAGGATTTTTCTTTTCTTGATATTGAAGTATAACCCATACTGATGGTTGAAGTCTTTGATTCTTCAGTAAATCACTTTCTGCCAGAAAGGTTGTGTCACCTGCATAATGTCGGGTTTTGATGCTACATTCTTCTTTATATATTTTAGCTTCTCAAATAATTTGCTTAATTTAAAAAGTATGTGATAGTAACACTTTTATCAGAGTAACAAAGGATGTGCTTTACTCACTGAGGTACACTCTGATTATTGGTACAATATCTGTGGTTTGTGAATTCGTTTCATTCCTCTCTAGGCATCTCAGGCTCCTGGCCACCACACCTTTATCCACTTGCTCAGCTCAAATTCCTCTTAGGTGCTTAATCACTGTGTATTCCTTGACATTTGCCTAAGTCAGGCAGACTTGTGTTTCACTTCCACAGGCCAAGTTGTCTTTTTACCTAGCAGAAGGGTTAATGAAATGCTAGGGAGAAAGGACTTGGTGTTCCACTTCAGGCTGCTCAAGGAGAGCCCTGTGCTTTGTAACCATACCACACCCTCAATATTAGTGGCAGTGGGCCGGCAGGCCCTTTGGGAAGATAAAGCTGGCCCAAGGGCAAAGGTTGGGCAAAGCCACCAAGCTCTACTGGAAGCCCAGCTGCTTATAGGGAGAATGACCCCTCCCACCTTCACCTGCCTCCTGTAAATATTCACTTTAACTTCTCCGGGCTGGGACCTGAGTCTAGGACATCCAGCAGCACATATGCCTGAGGTATCCCATTCTTAGGCTGATGGGGGCGACCTTCTGCTTCCTCACAGTTTTGAGTGTGCAGAAAAGCTGCAGCCCAGGCCAGAGGAACCAGAACAGCCGAGATGGCCTGTGTGGGGCAGCCTTTGCCCAACTGGAAGCCAGACCCCACCCAAGTCTAGGATTGGGGCGAGGAGGAGCCTATATTGAACTCCGACTGGCGCCCCCTCCCCCCATGCCAAGCTCACGCCACCACCCCTCCACTGGCTCATTCCCCTCTGGTGCCACTGCACCACCCTCCCTTTCTGGCCCTGCCCCAGGTCCAGGCCGGCCCTCTGTTGCTCCTCAGTTCCAGGTTGGTGAAAACAAAACAGTGATTGACTGCCTTAGAGGGGCAGGCCTTGTTAAGGAACCGCCTACTCCTCTCGAGGCTAAACCAGGCATTTTTCTGGGAAGGGCGGGGAAGGGAGAGAGAGGGAGTTCTCTTCTGCATAAGGCCTTGAAGAGTCTGAGCCAGGAGGCTCGAGATTGTACCCACTTTCAGTCATGGATCCAGGCTCTCGCCCCAGACTACTCCCTTCAAATCCAAGGGAGAGGCATAGAAGAGACTTCTGAGGGTTGGAAAGTGTCCCTCGCAGGTCACCTCTCATCCTGGGAGGTCCCTGGGCAGGCTGTTTGTTAGGAAGGAGGAACTGAGATAAAAGGGCAGGGAGAATCTTCCCAGGGAATTCGAGGTTTGATCAGTACTGGTCCTGAAGCCTGCAGGGAATAAAGGACAGGAGAACAAGATAGTCTGTGCTCTTTATTTCCCTACCCCCTATTTCAACACTCTTCTGGGTATCTAGATGAAAATAACAAGGTTCAGTAGTTTGGGAAGGCAACTGCGGCTAGACTAGGTAAGTGACTATGAGGAGAAGGAGGAAGGGCTGTGAGAACCGCGAGGGTGTAGAAACTGCCCAGAGGAAGAGAGGCAGAGGTGCGGAGGGGGAGAGGAGAGTGGAGGAGAGAGGAGAAATAGGGGGGAGGGAGGGAGAGAGAAAGACGGAGGGAGGGAGAGAGAGAGAGAGAGAGAGAGAGAGAGAGAGAGAGAACATGCAGAGAGGAGGAGGGGAGTTCGATGTGGGAGGAGAAGGCTCCTGGGACCGTCTGTCGCGCGGGCCAGGCTGGCCAGCTGGGGCACAGAGTCAAGGGGAAGAGGTAGCGGTGGCGCCAAGCAGCAGCAGTATCAAAAGAAGAGTAAATAAGTACCAACCTTACAGCAGCTCTTCTGGACCTGGACCGAGCAGCCTTAGTTCACCCCCTCAGCCCCCCAACCCCCACCGCTCCCTGACGAGATGGCGCTGCAAAAAAACTCCACAAGCAAGGAAGCCAAAGGGCCTGGGCAAGAGACAGAGCAAGAATTGCCGGAGCCTGTGGGTCACCCAGAACCTGATCCAGTGCCGAAGCCCGAGCCCATGCCAGTGTCTTGTTCCGAGGTTCATCCAGAACCTCAGCCTCTAATCGACCTTACACCCTTGCCAGAGCTGGAGTTTGAGCCCGAGCCTGTGCATGAGTCTGAGCCCACGCCCACAGTAGAAACCCATAGCACTGAGCACAGCTTCCAGCCCCCAGAGGGTGGCTTTGGTTGGATGGTGGTTTTCGCCGCCACCTGGTGCAATGGCTCCATCTTCGGCATCCAGAACTCCTTTGGGATCCTGTACTCTATGCTGCTTCAGGAAGAAAAGGAGAAAAATCACCAAGTAGAATTCCAAGCAGGTAAGTGTGTGTGCCCCCACCCGGCATTCTGGGCAGTGGTGTCAGCTCCTGCTATCTCTTGGGCCCAGGTGCCCCTACAAGTGCTTTTCTGATCGCATGGCTTGTTTGGGCACAGATTACTGGCTCTAGGTAGCTCTGACTGTGGCATAAGACACATTGGGTCTCCCCAGAGACAAAGCGACAGCCACCTTTTGAGTTTGTTGCCTGTGTCCTGGAGCAGGGGAGAGGGCAATTTTGACAGGGCTGTGTTTTGTTTGTTTTGTGGTGAGAGAGGGTTCATGAAAAAGAGAGAGTTCGGAGGTGGGACAGTCTTCTAGATAAATAAGGTGCATTCTCTGCAGCAACTCAGCTTCCTGTGGAAGAGTGGAGGTATTTTCTGTCAAAACCATTTAGGGATCCTGGTGACTGAAGAGACAAGGTGTGTATTTATTAGCTAGAGCAAGCAGATCAGGATAACCCTTACTTGCCAAGGTCTGAAGCTGCAGAACCATACACAGGTACACTTTTCACATCTAACCCTCCTGTGGACCTGGAGAAGTCAGATATAGCAAAACTGTGAAGACTTCCAACAGTTTGGTTGAAAAATCTTAAGATGGAGCCTGGAGCTTGAGATGCCCTCTATCCCAGGGCCCAGGGCTTGCTCTCTAATGTAACTTCTCAGAACAGCTCCAGCCACCCACTTCCATTTTGTGGCACAAGACATGTGGCTTTTCACAGGGCTGCTCTAAGGTCAAAGAGCTCCTTTCTCTCACCTCAACAATTACTTCTGACATCTGAGGAGACTGGGAATTAAATGTGTGTAGAAACATATAGGGCATTCATTTGTGGATTCTTTTGGGAACCCCTCCCAGTTTTTCAATTTGTAGCGTTCCTGGATTATACTTGCATAAAGGATTTTAGGGCTCTCGGTGCATCTGACTTTTTTGGGTAGGTAGGGAGCAGAAGGACTGTAAAGAAAGGTTGATTGTTCCTTAGTGGTTAGTGAAGGAAAACTCTCAGGACTGCCTAGGCCTTATTGATACCTGAGTGGGACACTAGACCATGCAGAGAAACTTGGTAAGGAGGAGGAGGAAGTGGAAGGATGTGAAACAATGTCACACTCACCTGGGGATTGCCTTTTCCCTGCTTTAATGTGGTTCTGGGTTGTGCTGTTAACATCAACATTCTCTGGCAGTTTAAATCCACCAGCAAATCCTTGGAAGAATGATAGACAATCTCTTCCTTTGTGATTTGTTGTTGTTGTTATGTGCCTTAGAGTCAGAACTAACTCATAGCTGACCTTCCATTGAGTTTTCAGAAGATTTAAATTGCACAAAAAGAGATTTTCCATCTTTCTCTAGTAGAGCAGCTGGTAGATTTGAACCGCTTTCTTTTGGGTTATCAGTAGGTCACCAGAGCTCCCTTCCATGTTATTTTATAGCCTTGGAAACTCTGGTAGGTCAACAGTGAGTATTAGTAGGAATAGCCTCACTTGTTAGCAATGAATAGGCATAGGCTACTTCAGAGGATACCTGCTGAGTATTAAGGGCTTTATGGGTTAAAGAAAACTATTCACCTTCAGGATCCCAGACAACAAAGTCTGGATGAATTATGTTGAGAGACAGTAGGATCTGGACTGAAATTAGGCCTGGGTGTTTGTATGGTTTGAGCAGGCCTAGAGTTGGGGCTTCAAGAATATATAATAAAACTTGGGAAAACCATTCATTTACCAGGAAAAGAGTGACTGCTGGGAAACAGACTTCAAAGTAGGGGATCATAGGAGACTCAGGGGGAGGGCTGGTGGGGACTTTCCGGTCAAGACCTCACAGTGCAGCTAGTGGGGGTGGCTATGCAAAAGATACGATTGCTGTGTACTCTAATACAGACTAGGTCCATTGTAGGACTGAGATTATTGATTTAAACTTTGATGAGTATGGTCAGGAGGGGACAGAAAGGAATTTGGTGTGACCCCAAGATCTCAGAAAACTTTTACTTGATTCCTTGTTGTTGCTAGCGATGTTGTTGTTATGTGCCGTCAAGTGTTGCTAGCTATAGTATATTTTAATTCATTAAAATTAGTTTCAATCCTAGAGACTCTCAGAAATGTCTAAGTTTTCAATTTGGTAAAGTCAGGAACACCTTAAGCCATTCCAAAGCATCTAGAAAATCTCATTCTTAGAAGTACTTTTCTTGACCTCCTCAGCTTTCCCAAGTAACTATTCAGATCCTCATTCCAAACGTATCTCTGCTTGAAGATACTGTTCTACAGTGTACTCAAATTTCCCAAGCTACCTGTATCATACATAGTTTTGATGTCTCAAATGGGTAAAAGAAGCTAGTAAAAGCTTGTTATCTTCTTTACTAATTTCTGTCTGCTAACTCTTTTGAAAGCATGGCGCATATGTATACCAACACTCAGGATATTTGTAAATGGTCCATTTCTATTCTTGTCTAACTTACCTTCCCTCTGAATTTGTGTTTGGAGACACCTCACAACACAAATTCTCTTTGGCTAGGACTCATAGATATATTGATTGATTTCATTTATTGAAGAATTGGAAGATGATTGGAACTGTTAAAAGAAAGCTCGAGAGGAAGATAGTTTTGATCTTTTACTAATTTTGCCTTCGTTAAAGAGTGCTGCTGTAATAGCAGTATCAAACCTGATGGCTTTAACAAAGAAAAATTATTTCCTCACAGTTAGTTGTTGCTGTGTGGCGTTGAGTCAAAACCTACCCCTAACTGGCCTTTCAATGCTTTTTCAATGGCACAAGAAGCGATGTCCATCCTTCTTCCATGAAATAGTTGATAGATTTTAAATTGCAGAACAGCTTAGGAACCTGGAAATCCAAATTCAGAATGCTGGCTCTAAAGGAAACCATTCTCTGTTGACTCTGGAGAAAAGTCCTTGATTCTTCTGAACATCTGCTCCTGAGAGATCTTCATGTCACATGGCATCTTTCTTATCTCTACCTGCTTGCTTGTTTGCCTTAACCTTGTAAGAGATTGATTCAAGCACACTCTCTCAAATGTAATTAAAATGACAAAACAAAATATCCATAATTGAAATTTATAGCTTGATTTCTAAACTTTTGCTCAAAAAAGAATAAAATTTGAGAACCAGCTGAAATTAAATCAATACTAATGAAATATTGTTGTTGTTAAATGCTGTTGAGCCGTAGACGATGAAAAGATATAGTCCAATAGTTTAGTTTGAGAAAGTAAAGGAAATGAAAAATTTCCTAGAAACCCACATCCTACCCAGAGTGACAAAGGCAGATGCAGAACACTTGGACAGACCCATCACAAAAGAAGAAATTCAGGGGGCCATAAAGAGAAATCCTGCCCCCAAAAGTTTACAAGGTGATCTCTACCAAACATTCAGAGATGAACTATCACAAATTATACTTATTGTTAAAAACAGAAAAAGAAGGAACATTTCCAGAGTCATTCTATGGAACAAACATAACCCCAATTATAAAACCAAGAAAAGACATCACCAAACAAGAAAACTAGAGAGTAATATCTTTCAGGAACATAGATGAAAAATCCTTAATAGATTCCAACTGTGTGTGTGTGTGTGTGTAATATATATATATATATATATATATTTCTCATGACCAAGTGGAATTCATAGCAGGTATGAAAGGATAGTTCAACATAATTCATCGTAATAGCAAAGCAAAAGCAAGAATCACATGATCCTATTAATTGATGCAGAAAAGGCCTTTGATAAAATTCAGTGCCCCTTCTTAATTAAAACACTCAACAAAATAGGAATATAAGGAAATTTCCTCAACATAGTGAAAAGTAAAAATGCAAAACCCAAAGTCAACAACATTCTCATTGGAAAGAGACAAAAGGCATTCCCCTTATGAACAGGGACCGGGCAAGGATGCCCACTAACACCATTCCTATTCAATATTATATTAGAAATACTTACTAAGGCAATAAGACAAGAAGAGAAGGAAATAAGAGGCATTCAGATTGTCAAAGAATTGGTAAAACTATTGCTCTATGCAGACGATATGATAGTGTACACAGAAAACGCCAAAGACTCAACCAAAAACCTGTTGGACCTATTGTTATTGTTGTTGTTGTTGTTGTTAGGACCGTCTAGTCAAGTATGACTCATAGCAGTTCTGTGCACAAGAGACCTGAATCTTATCCTATCTTGTGTCATTCTCATCATCTCTGACATACTTTAGTCCATGGCTGCAGTCACTATGTCAATCTATTTAACTGGAGGCCTTCTTCCCTTTAACTGACTCGCCATCTTTCTAAGCATGATAAACCTTTCCAAGAAATAACCTTTCCTAGCAACATGTCCATTCCAAAGAAAGGTGACCCAACAGAATGCTGAAATTATTGAACAATATCAGTGTTTAATGATAAACATAATTTAATAATTGCAACATGGACTATACATAGTTGGGTTTTTGTTGTTGTTGTATTTTCATTCATTCATGTTTACATATTTTCCTTCCTGTCCCCCCTCCCCCCAGTTCACTTTTTTCTTTGGAAAACAAAGTTCTTTCATTGTTATATAGTTCACAGCCTCGCCCCCCCCCCCGACCACTTTACTATTCTGGACTCTTGTCATGCCAATAATACCTAATCTTATGTCCCAATTACATAGTTCTCTCCCTTGTCTGTTTCAATACCGTGTGCATTATTTATCCCCTTTTCTTAGTTTCTCCCCATGTCTGATAAGGGACTTATATCTAGAAATTATAGAACACTCGAGCACCACAAGATAAGGCAAACAACCCAATTGAAAAATGGATACAGGATATGAACAGAAAAGAAGACATTCAGATGGCAAACACATGAAGAAATGTTTAACATCCCTAGCTCTAAGAGAGATGAAATTCAAAACAACTATGTGGTATCATTTTATCTCAATAACAATAGCAAAATTTAACAGAGCAGCAAACAAAAAATGGTGGTGAGGTTTTGGAGAGACTGGAACCCTTATTCACTGTTGGTGGGAGTGTAAAATGGTGCAAAAACTATGGAAG